CTCCTGCCGAGGATCCAACGAGGAAAACCCGGGAGGTCTATCCTCCTCTTCCTCCTCCTCCTCCTCCCTTCCCTCCTCCTCCTCTTCATCCTCCTCCTCCTCCTCGAAGGAGAGAGCGCATTTCAAATTCACCTGCCTGGGAAAATATTCCGAAACTGGTCCCCCAACCCCTTCCTCCTCGGAAGAAATCAAGAGGACCCCTTTGAAACTGGGGGTTCCTCTCCATAAACCCGCATCCCCAACCCCCTTCAACCCGCTCCCTCCGGGGGGGGAGGGGGGCTTCCAGAACCCCCCTCCCGCGGAGCAAAAACGTGGACAAGAGGGAGGGTTAGCAACCCCCACCTCCCTGCCGAAGCGCACTTGAAACGCGCTCTTTCCTATGAGCGTGTCTTCTCTGGGGGACTAACTCGCTTCCTAATGTCAGCCCTCAAGTGAGCCCCGGCAAAACGAGACCAGCGTGCGGCTTGAATGTAAATGGCGGGTCGGGCGGGCGGAGTTGGGACATCGGAGTCCCCCAAATTATGGAACGGTGCTTTTCCCTCGCGACACGACAATTTTTTTGTGGAAGCGATGACTTGAAACAAGACGGACGTAGCCGTAACTCAGAGCGTGGCGCAAAGCTACTCCCAGCCGGTCTTGATGTATTCAAATGTGTGATGCTGTTCCGCTTAGAGGTTGCCAGTGTTGATGCTCACAGAGGGCAACGGTACATGTTGCGAGTATGCACTCTCGCCGAGCAGCCATGAGTTCATGTGTCAAGAAGGGGACAACGCTGAGTGCCCACCGCCAACTCTCAGGCTGAAATGCGGCAGCCACGCGTGTCATCTGCCACTGGACTGCAGGACATGCAACTTATTACCTGTAGAATGTGTGTGGATGCGTGTGTGTGTGTGTGTGTGTGTGTGTGTGTGTGTGAAGGTGTCATGCGCATTGCCTGGTACATACTCGCTTTTGTTGCACTGTGTTTTGCATCTGCCCGTGAAGGCGCGACGCCCCAAGGCCCAGAACGAGGCATTTACACCACCTGGCAATGTTTCCTCACCCTCGCCTGCCCCCCTCGAGGTGAGACATTTATCAACGCCTGACAATCTTTCCTCAGTCTTTTGATGTCTCCCAGGATCGGCGAAAGCCACCAACTTCGGTATGGCGGCCGTTCGACACGACGCTATCCAAACGGCGCAGGGTGGTTTCAATATGCATCGACTGTGCTTCCAGACATTTCCAAACGTGTTCCAACATGCCCCACCATTGCTTACGATGACCTCCTAAACGATCCAGATGGCCGCCGACATTGCCCAAGATTGCCTTCAATAATTCGCCCCAGGGACAGAACATATTGAAGCATAATGATCTCTCAAATGGTTTTGGCGTGCAACCTTTTTCCTTTCAGAAGCCTGGAGATGGCCCAGTACTGCCCAACCCTAATTGCCGAAAGGTGGCCCCCAGCGGCCCGAAGATAGCCAAGGATGACCCAACGAGGCCCAAGATAACCCGAAGAGATCTGTAATATGCCCCACGGTAGCGCCCACGGTCCCAAGTGATGGCACCAAGGTCGCCTCCAAATAGTCGAAACGCACTTCCGAAAACCAGCAATACAACTGAACGTCGGAACGCGTATGAATTCCAAAAGGACGGTCAGATATCGTAGAAATCCCTGCTTACTCCGGTGAGCCACGTTGCTGCCGATTGGAGGGAGTCTCACCAAAGCGCAAGAGGTCCCCGAATTCGCCAACATGGCCCAAAAAAGATTAAATTCTGTGCCAGGAATCGCCGAGATAACTCAAGAAGGTCCACAGATGTTCCCAACCCAACGGGCCCCAAGCAGCAATCTAGTGGGGGGGCCAACGGCAAGATGGCGCCAACCTTGCGTCCAGGCTGCGAAACACGTCTGGGCCCCAAGCACCAGCCAAGCCCATGATGTCGCAGCTCAGACCCAGGAGGGTCCCACCTTTGCCTCACGGGCCACTGAAGGGGCCTACGCTGGCCCAGCATGTTCCCAATATTGCTCGAGATGGCCTCGCGACACTCCACAGGCGACGCAGGAGATCCCCAGCGAGCAGGCCAGGAGGCCCATGAGGCTCCAATCTGAATCTCGCTGGCCCCATGATGCCCCAAGAGGCGCGCGAGAGGCAGCTCAAGACAGTCAAATGAGTGAAGCACCTGCGCATGTTCTGTTTGTATGTTGGGTACCCGTTTGAATAGGCAACGGCGCGATCCACCACCGAACTCCCCCCTCCCCTCCTTGCCTCTGTCCTCCGCACCCCCCTCCCATCCTTATCTCTGCCTTCCGCTTGTCCATGCTGGTGCACCCGTCGCACGTTTCGTGACCCCGTAAGGGCTCCACCGAAAGTTCTGGTGGGCGTGTCCGCATGCTGGGCGGCTCCACTTCGTCACGACCCTCACACTTCTCGTGCCCCCACAGGGAGCTCCACAGAAGACCCTGGAGGCAACGCCTCCAGAGGCTCGCCGAGGACGACGCCGCTGACAACGACGACGCTGCCACCCTGCCCCCAGCTGCATCCCTCTCGCTGCGGGCTGCCTGGTCACGAGAGGGTCGCGCCCAGCGCTGCTCGCAGACGCGCAGGGTTGGGCCCTTCGCCAGGCTATTTTTCATCAAAACGCTTCGGCTCAAAACAGCTTCAGAAAGGGCCTCGGAGGTCCCCGAGACGGCCTGGAAGGACCCAAAGACGCGCGGCTGCCCCGCGCAGCCCCGAGGGGGGCTCGGCAGGATACGCGCGGCGGGCGGGGCCAGATGCGGCCCGACGTGGCGGGCGCGAGCGCTCCGTCTCTGTCATGAGGACGCGCGGCCCCTCCGCGCGGATGGCTCGTGTCGTCGTATCCCGCTTGGGTGAGACACACTCCCCGACTCATCAAAACTGCCCCCTCCCCCGCCTTTATCAGATCCCAAACATCCAGCGAACCTGACCCTCCACGCGCGCTGACAAACATCGACGGCGACGACAAACGATGACGACTGCAGCGAGCGGGCAGGGCACTTCGTCGTCGTCGTCGTCGTCGTCGTCGTCGTCACTGTCGTCCTTGTCCTCGTCGTCATCGCTGTCGTCAGCAAATCGATCGGTCGGGCGGGCGGGACACGTCGTCGTCGTCGTCGTCGTCGTCCTTGTCGTTCGCTGGCGCGGGGGGCGAGGGGGGGTTTGAACCCCGTCCGCACCTTGCGCGGGCGAAGGGGGTAACCCTCCACCCATTTGCGCGCGAGGGAGGGGGGGAGAGAGGTGTGACCCTTTCCCTTTTGCGGAGGAGACCCCCGACTCCCGCACGTCCGGAACGTTAGTTCTTTTTTGGGGGTGGGGGGGCCCCTGGTGTAAAACCCCACCTCCTCAAGCGACCGCAGAACGCGCTCTTTCGGAGGACGGGGGCGGGGGGGAGGAGAATGATGAGGAGAAGGAAGACGAGGGAAGATGGTAGAAGAGAGGAAAAGGAGGGCGAGAAGGAAGGAGGGAAACAAGGATGAGGGACGCAGATGATGAGTGAAGAGCTTGGGTCAGCAGAGTCTAAGCCGAAACCCTGCTTAGGATGACGCCGTACACGTATCGCGGTATTCCATAGCGTATACCTTCTTGAGCGGCAGGGCGAGAGATAAGAGACAAAACACAAGAGATGATGTTGGATCATCGGTGGATGTGGCCTCTATCCAACACTCAGATCCGTAGTGCCTCGCAGGCGCGAGGCAGTCAAACAGTGCAGCGCTACCTCGGGCCAGGTAGCGCCAGACGTAGGCACGACGTTCGTTATACTAACCCCTCTTCGACCTCCTTCAAAGTCAGGAGGAACCCCCGTCCGCGCCTCGGCATCCGTCCTGGCTTCTGTGACCTCCAAGGCCACCTACCCTGCAAAATTCGCGCCGGGCCCCCCCACCGCGCCCCCGCATCCGCCCCTAGCTTCTGTGATCTCAAAGGTCACCCATCCTGCAAAATTCACGCCGGGACCCCCCACCGCGCCTCGGCATCCGCCCCCTGGCTTCTGTGACCTCCGGGGCCATCCACCCTGCAAAATCCACGCCGGGACCCCCCACTGCGCCCCGGCATCCGCCCCTGGCTTATGCCATCTCATGTAAATGAGAGGGCATGGAAAGAATGGGTACACTGCCCAACAACAAATGTTGTCCCAAACCAACAGCGGCCACTGTTGTGCAGGCGGCCTTCTGTCTTAAATGGACACAGGCCGCGGCGACACCAACAGCGAGTCCTGTTCAGAATGAACAAGAACTGCTGTTGGGCATTGTACCCATTCTTGCCGTACCCATTTCGTTCGTGCCGATCTCAATGCCCACCCACCCTGCGAAAGCCACGCCCCGGGACCCCCCGCCGCGCCCTGGCATCCGCCCCACGCTTTTGTGATCTCACGGGCCACCGACCCTGCAAAATTGACGCCGGGACTCCCTCGCCGCGTCTCGGCATCCGCGCCTGGCTTCTGTGACCTCAAGGCCACCCACCATGCATATAATTCACGCCGGGACCCCCCGCCGCGCCCCAGCATCCGCCCCTGGCTTCTTTGATCTCTCAAGTGCCACCCACCCTGCAAAATTCACGCTGGGACCCCACCGCGCCTCGGCATCCACACCTGGAAAAAAGTAAAGTAGGGCGGTCGATCTTCGACTACCCCAGCAGCGCAAAATCAAGGCAGGAAGAGGGCAGCACAGAGTATTCGGGTCGGTCATGGGCAACCCACATGACCGACAGCAGATAATTAAGTGGACGTCTGACCAAACTGTCAGACGTCAAAACGTGCTGTGAAGCAAAAGGATGCATGACCTAACTGTCAGGCATTCAAGCTTATGGTTACGCCCCCCGAAAAAGGCCGCGTCCGAGGTAATACTGATGTACTGCTCGTGTCCGAGCATGCTTTGGCTTTGACCTAGCCGCACGTATTGTCCGCTAGCCCTAAATACAGCAGGGCTATGTTGGTGCTGCTTTGTTGCCCCTATATGGTGTATACCTCTATACCTCGTACTTGAATGACTGTGTTCCTTCCATTACTTG